CCTAGTGCGCAGGGGATCTCCCCTATGCCCTGCAGAAGAAGAAGAAGAAGAAGAAGAAGAAGAAGAAGAAGAAGAAGAAGAAGAAGAAGAAGAAGAAGAAGAAGAAGAAGAAGAAGAAGAAGAGAGAGAGAGAGACAGAGAGACAGAAAGAAAGAAAGAAATAATGAAATAGATACAAAAAGAAAGGCCGAGCGAATTACACACTCACACATAGTCTTGGTCCAAATGGTGCTAATGCCCGAGGCCCTGAGATCAAGTGACGGTGGCACTCTTGCAACTCTTGCTGCCGTGCCTGCCACACAGATGTTCTTGTCAAGTTCACGCCCGTTTGCAAGGTGGAGGCCAGCGCGGCCACCTTGCTCCTCCTCGCGCGGTTCTTGGTGGGTTTCGGGGCTAGGTTTCAGGTTTTTGCGCGCCCTGAACCTGTCTGACCCACCTGAACCTAAGGCTTTTGAATTTTTAAGTTGATTAGGGGGTTGATGGTGCCACCGGCTCTCCCGAGGAATGCCGACACACCCGAATCCTGGGGTCAGGCTCTCGCCCCAAATCCACAAGAAGAGTGAAACTAGATCGCTCGGGCAGAATCCGAAAAACTTCCGCTGGCCCGAAGACCTGAACGCAGAAAACCAAAGGAGTTCTCATTCCCGCAAGATGCCAGATGCCCCACGTTTCATGCTTCGTGATGTCAGCAATCTGGCGAGGTTTTAGTTCCATGGCACGGGATATTGGTTCAACGGGTCTGCTGAAGACATACGGCCTGACGGAACCAAGTAGTTTTCGTAACACAGTCCACTTCCAAGAGCCATAGTGTTCAGCGAGATTCCTGTGTACTATAAGACTTTCAGCCGTCGCCCGTCACCAGGGAACCCTGCAGGGCTAGGTGCGGGTGTAGCTGTGGTCACGAAGCTTGGGCCATGGCACATTGCACGCCTTATACTACTCAGATTCGACCCCAAGACCAGACGTAGGAGCCCAGAGCCCTCGAGACGTTCCCGCCACCGGAGGCCTCCTACTGCAGGGCGGCTGGGGCTGCCTGCGCCTCAGAATCTCCAAGAACTGGTGCTGGCATGATCATGGAGTTGGCAGGTTCCAACTTGCGGTTTCCTACGCGGTACTGCGTTCAACTTGCAGCAAAAGTTGAGCAGCGCAAATTTGCACATCCACCAACAAAAGCACGAGTTTTGATTGTTTTCCCTGGCCCAAGACAGCGAAAAAGCCAATCTTTTCGGAATTGATTACCCGGGACATCGAAAACCAACCAAGCAAGCGGAAGATTTCTGCGAAAAGGTTCGTCCGGCCAAGGCTGAGGGCTCAGCCTACACATTGGGTAAACAGGACATCAGGTGCGTGGGAACGGGGCTTGCGAAGCCAGTGCCCTACCAGTATGTCGAAAAGCTAAGCCTGCGGCCGAACCATAAGATGTGGAAGCAGCTTTTTGCCTTTTTGACCATCGTAAGTCTCAGCATGAAAGTGCAGCAGCACCCTCCCCTAGGGTACGTTCTGAGTAATCGAAGTAGGCCATCGCACAAGGAACTTCGTCCCACGCCACATGTACCGCCCAGCTTTGACAAGGCCGGTGATTTGGAAGACACGTGGTTTTCAGCCGCACTCGCCGTGGACCGTGCCAAAAAGTTGAACCTGGGGCGATACACCTTGTGGACGGGAGCACTGCAGAGTGAGGTAGTGCTAACACGAGGGTTGATGATTGTGGTGATCTGAGCATCGCCGCAAATACTACTGTTAGGTTTCAGCTGGAACTCCGAACCCTGCGTCCCAACCCCGAATGCATCTCGGGCTAGGACGCTCAAGCCGGATTGGCCGTGAGCGCGTTTCAGGTTCCCCCAGCATTTTTGAGATTTACCTCGAGATCCTGCAGTGGTTATCTTTATGATTTATACATGCTTTTCCAGTTACAGCTTGCAACTTGGAGAAGGATGTGGCTGCTTCGTGCAACTTCCCAGATTGCGCCAAGTGTCTCATGCTTGGGAGGCTTGGATTAGTTGCGAGCTTTGAACCTGGTATATAGTTCCTGCGCTCCACACATGTCTTGCAGCCTTGCAGCTCCTGCCTCCCTTGGAACGTCGCAGCTCAAGATTGTCATGGATTCAGCTGGGGTTGCGGCCCTTGAAAAGTAGTGGCTTTAGTGTCCAGCTGTTACTTTACTCCGGTGGCGCAGCCCTGTTCTGCGAGAAGCTGGCCCGCCAAAACTACCCATGGCAGCATCTGCGTGTGTTTAGTTAGCTGTGAAAGAGAAATGCCTTGAATCGAGTGCCTGGTACTTGACCTTAAATGTTGGACCTGTACGTGCTACAACATCGGCAGACATTTTGGTAGAAGCACCGAACAGAAGCATGGCGCGTGCAAAGACTGCGCGGCCATGTCGACGAATTGGAGGACAAGGTTGTTAGTTCGTTTTGTGCACGCAAGTGAGTCCTTCCTGGACAATGCTTACCTAAGTTTTTTCAATATCTGGTTCATGGTCCTGAGCTTTGCGAAGTCTTTCGATGGGAATTGCAGGCATCTGTGCGGGGTTTGCTTCATGTTCAACACACGCTTCTCACATTGCAGCAGTTTTTCGCGTGTGACGCTTTGCTGCGCATGCGGCGACAACAGGCAGGTATATGTAGCGTTCGCAGTTGCTGTGTGGACAAGTTTGTTGAACACGGCGGAGGCCAAAATTGTTTTTGCCTTGCGCAGGTTTCACATTTGCACGCTTGCCGAAAGTATGTTTGTTGTGTTCCCATTCTTAAGCTCGCAATGTTGGGCCGTGACCTGTCCTGCATTTCCGCATGCAAGCGGCAAAACTCACCAGGATGGTATTCCCGGCCCACCTTCTCAGCGCTGGCTGTTGTGGCAGCCTCGTGGGGTCGAATTGTTGGGTTGATGGACGGATCGATGCCCGTCTGCCGGATTTCCAATGGCCAGTTTGGAGTTGGAGGTTACATTGTAGGGGGCGAAACGTTCGCAAACTCTTCGGTTGCGCGAACCACACCCAGAAACTTGAAGTCTGTGCTGAACCAGTCCCAAATGATCAGCAGAGGCCACGCGAGGGGGCTCGGTGTTTTGGTTTCAGGCCATATTGAGTCTGTTGTTAGTTATATACACTGACCCCTTCAATGCCCGCGAGCCGCGATGTCTTTTCAGCCTTCAGCATTGACGTGTAGGTGTTTTCGGCAGCTGGGCTGGTGTGGGTCGGCCAAGCGCCAGGCAGAGGTCGGGGCCGGTTCACTGGTAGTGGGTTAGGATTGATTGATTCCGGATGTAGAAGATAGGCGTTTAGATTGGGTCGGCCTGACGATCAAAGAGACCGCGGGTTTAGTCTTTGCAGGAGGTTCAAGTGCTTCGCCAAGTTCATATCCAGTTTTTTCAGGGTGTTTGGGGATCTGGGACTTGGGTTTGGAGTTTCATTTCCGGCTCTTTGCCAGAATGCAGGGTTCAGATTGGGTTGGGTGCCAGCTTGTAGTGATGGGCTGGCGTTGTATGTTGTTCTGTCGCAGTGTCATGCAGTTTCGGTGGTGCTGTTTAGGACTGGACCTCAAGATCCTGCAGACCCCGAACACGGCAAACACCCTTGCCGAGAAACGTTGAAACCCCAAAGCAAAAGCAAAGGCTCAGCCTTCAAGGCCGCAAGGCTACAAAAAGTCCTAAACCCTCAGCCTTTTTTCTCCACCTCAGCTTCCCTGCATGTCCCTACCGAGCCCTCAACATTCCAACACCAGGCTCGGAGCCGAGGGTAATTGCCAAGGCCCCTGGCAAGGGGGGCTCGGAGGGCATGTTGAGCGTATATATCATACTTTGCAAATATCATACAGATATTTTAGAGGCTATGGCTATGACTCTGTTTAGCTTTGATTTATTAAGTGTTGGTATATAAGGAGACTACCTAGATAGGCAGATTGAAGGTTCCTAAATCCGTGAGGACTGGGGCCTTCAGGAGCTGCTTTGGATTCGGCGTTGAGGGTTGAGAGGGACGTGCGATTTTCGGGCAGAGTGTTTGGTGTGCAGGGTTCAGGGGCTGAGGCTTCCCAGCCCTATGGCTTTTGAGGCTGTGTGCAGAATTTTTTTGCATAGGCCCCTAAACTTAAACACAAAACATCCACCTCGGGAGCCTCCACAACGAAGACTCATACGCTCGATCTGAAAAAAAGCTTTGGGATCTACAGCTCACAGCGCTGTGGCAGCACGCGCCTTTTGCCAAACTTGAGCTCTCTCCCCCAAGCCCTCAGCGCCGAATGCGGGAGTTTGAGTTCCGAGACGTGAGATGGTTCAGGGCCGGGGGCATTCGGGGGTCCCAATCCTGGCCAGGGCAAGAAGAAGAAGGCCATTGAGCCCGAGCTCAAGATCACGCCGCGGTCCGAGGACGCGGGCCCGGGTAGGCAGTTTAGGGGTGAGGGCTTGTTGATATACGTAGCGTTCTTTCATGCTGTGTTGCAGCAGGACTGGTCTGCGTGGTATCTCGATGTTATCAGTGCGGCAGACTTGGTTGATGACGCTCCGGTGTGCTTGGCTCAGCTGCCCGTACCCTTCAAAGCCCCCAAAAGCATAAGCCCTTGAAGGCACCTGATGCCCAGGGAAGCGTTGTAATGTCGCAAAAACATCTCGAGCTAGCTGCAAGGCTGCATTTTTGGCGAGGGTATATTTGACCTATCGCTTGCCACATGCTGCCATCCCAAGCCTGATTCCATGCTTTCTTGACACCATCTCTCAACATCATGTTTTGGGCGTTCGGGGTTTGGCAATTCTGCCAGCAAAAGCCTCTACTCTATGTAGGTTGATTGTGACCTGCCAGCGTGTTCAAAAGTTGTTTGAAAAGCGGTGCGTCATGCAAGTACTGTGCCGTGGCTCGGGTATGGTCATGTTGAAAGATGCTGAGTCTATCCAGTCATTGTTGAGGTGCAGGACAGTTCTCAGTGCATCGTGGAAGTCTTAGCATTGACAGAGCTAGGGCACTTTCACAGTAAGTCCGTGCTGCAGGCGTGGGTGCAAGATTTTCAAGCCCAATGGCTTCGCTGTGCCCGGATCCGAGGAAGTTCTGGTGGTTAGAAGCTGACACTGGCACTGTGGAAGTTGGGTCGGGTTTATCCATTGTGTGCCTTGCTTCGTACCCCGCCTCTCAAAGGCCAAAGCCTTGACACGCGAGCCTGAGAACCCACTGTGTCAGGTGGGAGGGCATCCAGCGCCTTCTGGATCCAAAGATCAAGGCGTGCTCGTGTGATGACCCCCAAACCCAGAACCCTACAACCTCAACCTTGCATGTGCTTATGTCTTCTACCAGAGTCAATGCCCGTTTGGGCCCTAAACGCCAAACGCTAAACCCTAGAGTGTTGGGCTGTCGAAGCTTCCGATGAGGAAGCTTCAAGAAGCCTTGCCTCGCTGAGAATAACACCCCGAACTACTTGTCAAAGCCGACCTTGACTGGGGGGCGAGGGGGTGGCACGTGCAGTTCGGAGCCTGGCGCGCGCGCGCGCGCGCGCGCCCCCCCTGCGGCTTGGGGATTGAAGTGCAAAAGGGTTTGGGGTGTGCGGTTCAGAGGTTGGGATTCCATTTCGACGTGCAAACAGCCCAAGTCAGTCCAACCCTCTGAAGCAATTCCAGATGCATGGATCAAGCCTTCGATGTGTCAGGCGATGGGCGCGCAGAACGCGTACTTTCCGCTGCTGATTCCGGCACCTTGCCGCCCATTGCATCTCGGGTGCTGGGTGTATTTGGGTGTATGGCTTGCAAAGGTGCTGAGTGTTTATGTGTTGGCAGTGGTCAGAATCCATCCCGAAATTTGCAGGAAACCTGAGTCCCCGTGACCATGTCCAAGCATGAGCCTAAACCCGAATCCCAACCCTCCTTGAGTCTCCTAAGATCCTCGTTACCCACTACTGTAAAAGCCGCTGGAAGCCCTGCGCCCGGCGCCTCCCCAGGTGAGCTTCCTTTCCAAGGAGGCCAGTCACGTCGATGGCTTCGCCAAGGACCGGCTCTGAACACCGGTTACAAAATGAGCTTTCCACGAGAGCTTGGACTGGTGGGGGTTTGGGTGTTTTTGTTTTTTGTGTTTTTTTTTGTTGGGGGGGGAGGAGGGGGAGGAGAGGGGGAGGAGAGGGGGGGGGAGAGGGGGGGGAGGGGGGGTGGGAGGGTGGGGAGGGGGGGAGGAGGGGGGGGAGGGGGGCTCTACATGGCCCTAAAGTATACCTAAAGCTGGACCCCTGAAGCCTGCACAACGCGAGCACTTGAATGTTGGGTTTTCTGGCGGCTGACAGCTTTGCCCTGTCCTTTGGTAGAGGTTTTAGGTTGGGTGCAGGGAAGTGCTGATCCTACCAGGAGTGTGCCGTGGTGACGCACTACAGGCTGCGCAGTGTGCCAGAGGAGGTCCTTGAGGGCATGTGCTGTGCCGCTGTATGGTAGAAGGGTTGGAGGACACTTCAGTTTCAGGGTTGCGGGTGTGGGGTGTGGCTCGTAGAGATCCCAGATTGGGTCGGCTCTTTAGGCTCGTAGGTGGCAAACAAGTCGGCAAACAAGTCGGCACCTGGCAGGTTCCGCGTTGAAATAACTGACGCATCACACGCAGTTCAGGGAACCTGCTTGTCTCTTCGATGCTGGCCTCAGCGGGTGCTCCTACGTCGCCGCACAATTCGGAGTTTAGAGCCTTTAAATTACTTGAGATGCCCCTTGGGCCTGCCTTTAACTTTGTTGTTTGTGGTGCTTTCATTGTGAACGCCACTGCTCAGCAGCGTTTTCGCTTCTTTCAGCATGTTTCATGCGTCGAGAGGCCGTTAGAATTTCAGCATGTTGCTGAGTTTCGAGCTGCTTCCACAGTCACGCAGATCTCATGAGTCATGAAGTGTTTCCGATGCATGCGGGTCTTCTGATGCCTTTGATCGTTGTGTTCCAGACTGATATGGTTCTCATGAATGTGAAGTCGGGATGGGTTCCGGAAGTCGGAAGCCAGGTGAAGGCCGACGGCGGCCCTTTGGTGGAGGCCCGCATGACCTGCTTCGGAGCCTCGAAATCCCCTCTTGGCCCCTAAATTGTGATGTTCCGCCTTCTACTGGCAGTCCTTAATAGGGACTATAAGGGGGGGTACTATAATCCCTATTCAGACTGCAGGTATAAGGGGGAACAAATCCAACCCCTAAACATTGAACGGTTTCCGGTTGGCGGTTTAGGGTCTGAGCCTGAGTCCTCGGATCTTTCGATGGCAAGACGCCTCAAGCTCAAGGGGCAGCCTGGTTTACGCTACAACACCTCAAGCCAGAGCTCCCCAAAGCCCAGCTAAAGTTTCAATGAACCCCAGCAAGCCGTGGCCTTTTGGCTAAGGGATAAGGGAAGCCGGTACCTCGGATCCCTCATAGATCTCCGTATAAAGCGACTGTAAGCATGTTCAACCAGCACGAGCGATCTACACGCCAAGCTGCATACCAGAAAAAACACAACTTACAGACGGCATGGGTCATGAAAGCTAGCTTGGACTTGTGGCGATGCCAGCTTGTGCGGGAGCCAGCAAAATTTAAGGGACACATCTCTGCAACGTGACAGCAAACACATTGGCTGGCGTGTGCAAACATCGACCCCGCTGGCAATGATCCGGGTGTGGAGGGTATCGGGTGAAGAGTTGGCTTCTATACCGCTGGAAGAGGTGGGGAATGTACGGCTCCTGAAACAGCGCTTGGAGGAGTCTTGTGGCGTTCCAAGATTCCGGCAAAGGCTCCTGAACAGCGGCTAGGTCCTTGCTATGGCTTTCGTGGAGTTCCTTAATGTTCTTCTGTCATTTTTTACTTAAGTATAGCCACCCAGCCGGATCAGATTTGCTACATCTTGCCCTTGGTGCCAAGGCGGCGCTTACTTGTTTGACGGCGCTTGTCTGGACACCCCCATGGATTTGCAGCTGGTCTTGCTGCCGTTCTTGCAGCAGCAATCGAGGGAGCTTTGTGACGCTGCTTCTGCAGGCTCTGCATGGCTTCTGGGCCCCTATTTGTCGGAAGTTTTGTACCATTTTATACCGTTTGGGGTCGCCAAGATAAGATCGTAGCAATCCATCTCGTGGCAATGCTGCCGAAGTTGGCAGAGGCTTGTGGAAGAGCTGCTGCAAGACCAGCACGATCCCAACTCGGCCGGGAATGTGGGCCTTTCCCCCCTTTACGTCGCAGCTTCATGGGGCCATGTGGAGACAGTGCAGTTGCTCCTAGAGGCCCATAGCGACGTAGACCACGAAGACATGTACGGCAAGACGCCGCTCTTCGCAGCATCCCGGCATGGACACACGGAGGTCGTTAGTTTGCTGCTCGAGGCGGACGCAGACACAGACCGGATCAACAACTGTGGAGAAACTGCCCTCTTCATGGCATCACTGAACTGCCATGTTGAGATCGTGCGCTTGTTGCTCGGTGCCCGTGCTGACGTTGACAAGCACAGATGTTGTCGCAACTACTGGCACCTGCCGGCCCTCTGGGCGGCATCTCGCAAGGGCCATAGCGAGGTTGTACGACTGCTGCTGGAGGCAGGAGCTGGCAACGATCCGTGCACCGGCTTTGGGCAGGCCCTCTCTGCTGCTATCCTCGCTGGCCACACTGAAGTTGTGGGACTGCTTCAAGAGGCAGGAAGTGCCGAAGATGAGAGGGGTCGCAACTTCAGAGCAGTGGCTCTCTGCGAAGCATCCCACACGGGTCAGATACATTTTGTGTCCCATCTTTTGAAGTCTGGCTTTCATCCGAGTCACAGTGCTTATCGCGGTGACGTGCCACTGTGTGCAGCTGCTCGACGTGGCTTCGTTGACATCGTGCGCTTGCTGCTCCAGGCCCGTGCTGACAAGGATCAAGCGACCAAACGGCGCCAGACGCCTCTAATGGAAGCAGCGCGCAATGGGCACGCGACGGTTGTGCGTATGCTGCTAGAGGTCCAGGCTGACATGAGCCAAGTCAACAAACATGGGGAGGGCCTTCTGTGGGAGCCATGTCGAAATGGCCATACACAGGTTGTGCAACTGCTTCTGGATGCCAGAGCTGATACAAGCCGTGTGAACACTCGCGGCGAAAATGTTCTTTGGGCAGCGTGTAATATTGGAAGCGTTTGTATTGCTCAGTTGTTGCTGGACGTCGGCGTGGATACTAGTCAAGTTAACGTGCGTCGCAAAACCGTGCTTTGGGAGGCATCTCGCAATGGCTGCGAAGAAATTGTGCGAGTACTCTTGGAGTCTAGTCCTGATCCAAGCCAAGTTGACAGTCGAGGTGAAACACCTCTTTGGGAGGCATGCCGTTGCCATCACATGGATGTCCTGTGCTTGCTATTAGTCGCTGGCTACTCCGTACACGACGCAAACAAATACGGTGCAACGCTTCTTTGTGAGGCATGCAGGAATGGACATGAAGATATCGCTCGCCTGTTGCTTGGCGCGCGCGCAAGGCTGGAGCAACGAAACCGGCGCGGAGAAACTCCACTGTGGCTGGCATGTAAAAGCGGACACGCAGATGTCGCATGCCTATTGCTCCGGGCCAACGCTGACAGCTGCAAAAGCGACAAGTTTGGACAGACACCTGTATCAGCCGCGCAGCAGGGGGGCCACAAGGCAGTTGCGCGTCTGCTGCACGAGCCTTGCTTGTGATTGAGGAGTTTTTGGCTGTTCGGGACCCTGAATAATAAGATTTCTAGTGCAGATGCCATTGTCGGTACTGCAAGCAAAAGTAGCGCCGAAATTGTGGGAAAGTCGCTACTGGCGGTCCTTATGCTCTTTTTTGATCCACCTCAAATATGGTTTATAAGTTTTTTCTTCCGCCCTGAAGCCTCCCAAGTTCCCAATGTCCAAGGAGGCTTTGGCCACCAGGCGCGAAGCCCGGAAGCGACGCAAAGTTGAGACCTCGGAGCCACGGAAATGTCGGCGCCGTCTTTCAGCAGAAGCGGGCCGCTGATCCGTTCTCGTATTGGTTGCCGGAAGGATTGCAAACCCCAATCCTGGCATCTTCCCTGCCTCTACAGAGCAGCAGAGCTCCCCAGCTCTTGCTTTAGAGTGATAAGATATAGTTGCCGGAACGATTTGGCCATGAAGGGTTGTTGGACTTGGGATTCCGGGCTTCTTGCTGGGTTCAGGATCTGGGGGCCTGAGGGTGCAGAGCTGGAAGAACCGCAGGACCCCTGGGCCCTCCACATGTTTAGGGCGTCTAGGTCTTAGGGTTTCAGGTTTGGGCTTAGGTTTCAGAAGTGATGTGTTCAGGTGGATCCAGAGAGCAAGTTGACCGACCCCTTCGTGGCCCGGAACCCTGCAACCGGGTTAAGGTGCTTGTAGGGGGTGAGAGCAACATGACGCCCTTATAGGCTGGACTGGAAGGGTGGCTGGGAGTTGTGGGTGGTGCTGTGGCAACACACGAGAAGCGGCAGTCGCCACAGCAGCGGTGGTGCAGTGGAGAGGGAGAGAAGAGGAGCGAAAAGCGTAGCAGAATCAGAGATGGTGGTCGTGGGAGAATCCCAAATCTTGACCCCCAACTTCCACGCATGTGGTCGCCAGAGGTTCGTCCGACTTCCGAGACGGTCGCCAACGCCTTGGCGACAAGGGTTTCAGGATGTTTCAGGTATCCAGTTCCAAGAGTGGCTTGGAATTTCTCAGGAGTTCGGGTTTCAGGCTTCTGTCGTGGCTACAGTTGAGACTAGTACCTCTGCTATAAGTGTACTTATAACCATATTAGGGCACTTACTAGTGGTTAAAGTACAGTTATAATTGGTTCATAAGTACCATGAACCTCCAAGTAGTATTTAGGGCTTTTAAGGTTCAATTGAGAGGGGAAACGGAGCGCGGAAGGCACCGGGATCCAAGAGGGCTCAGAGGGTTTAGGGTTTTAGGGTTTAGGGTTTAGGGCTCCTAACACCCTGAGAAGGCGGCGCCCTGAAGGTGCATGGCCACATTGTAGGTTTTTATTGTTTTTTTTTCACGAGCAGGTCTTTAACGCAGAGGAGCATTGCCCCCAATGTCGAAACCTGACCCCCCTTGAACGCCCCGGAAGACACCCCTCGAGGTTTGGCACATGTACAGCAAGTGGATCAGCTCCTACCGGGATCTGTCGAGTCCCTGGTGCAGTGCTTTGGGCCTGAAAACCCTCAAGCCTAAAGCACTGGGTACTTCATAAGTGGAGGATCTTTAACGGTGATTACAGGTCCAGTTAGCCTGCTATATTGTCCTCTCAACTCTCTAAGCCCTAAGCTCTACTCATAAGCTCCCATGAGCTCTCAAGCCGCCTAGCCAAGCCCCTGAAACCTGAAAGGTTTCGGGGTTTCGGGTCGGAGCATTTACGTTGGGTCCCATAAGCCCTGCGAAACTGGACAGAAGACCCCGGAGCTTTAGGGGGCTCAGGATTTGTGCGTTTTGGGGCTTGGGGTTCAGGGCTAACATTCTTGTTACTTGTTCTGTGTGTTGCCTGAGGGTCGCGTGAGACAAAGGGGGGTTTAGGGTTTGGGATGCCTTCACGAGCCAAAACCCTTACACTACGTCCGGGAGACTCCAAGTTTGCTCAAAGCCAAGTCCGGGACATGAGACATGCAGAGGGCACCGTAGGGCTTAAGTGGATTCGGATTGGGGGTCTTCCTGGAACTGTATATGTGGGGCTTCCGAAATTAGGGGTGCCTTATTGGGGTCCTTATTGTAAGGGAATCCTACTATTTGGGGACTATATTCGGGGTCCCTTGTTTTCGGAGACCCCCATATCGGCACTTGCTAGAACAGGTGTTGGGCAGCAGATTGCCAATCTTGTATCCGCTCTGCCATGTACTTTGATGAAGCTGTTGCCCTCGCTCTTAGCGAGACAGATTCGCTTTCTTCAATCGACGGAGATGGTGCCCGCAAGGAGGAAGCACTGGTGGAGTTTTCAAAGCAGTATGAGTCGTACAGCGTCCAAGACCTAAGGCGAGAGGGCTCCGACACAGAAAAAGAGATTCGCAAGCTTTCAAAGCAGATCCGGCAGCTCAAGAAGAAGTCGGTGTACCTGGTGAAGCTCCTGGAAGACAAAGTCATCACAACGACGATCACGACGGTGTCAGGAGAAAGCCGGGAGCTTTCCGCGCGCCTGGGCGAGACAGTGGCTGATGTCAAGGCCCGAGCAGAGGAGCTCGGTTTGTTCGAAGCAGCCCCGGGCTGCTATCTTGTTCCAGATGGCCTCCGTGGGAGGGGCTTTCGTGTCGTGTCTGGCGTGAAGTTCTGCTACGAAGGGGAAGAGATGTGCGACGACAAGACCATGGCCGATTACAAGCTGGATGATGGCTCCGTCTTAACCGTTTTGGTGAACGAGCAGCCGCTGAGTCAAAGGCATCTCAAGTGCAAAAATCGCGACTTTCTTGCTGGGATGCTTGTGACTGCGGGCACGGGCAGTATCCCCTGGGCATCTCCGAAAGCATCGCTGCCATCATCCCCCTCAACGTCAAGAACGTCATCCCTCGAGCGGTAA